AGCTGTATGCTCAGAGTTAAAGTTTAGGATTGGCCTCAACTGAGCAGTAGTTCAGCAGTGAATCAAAGAGGTTACAGATTTACTGTGGTAGCTCTAAACCATCTTTCCTTCCACTAAGTCTTGATAAGTGGGGTAACATGTTTGCATTTCTTGGGCTAAAGGAGCCAAGTACATCCAGTGACACAAAGAAATTATGCTGCTACGTTTTAATAAAAAACAAAGACTGTAACTGGCACACTGCCACTGTTTTTTTTATATGTTCGTGGATACAACAACATCAAGGGCATTAAGTTACCATTAGGTATAGAAAATGAAGATAGAAACTCATTTTGCAGACTTAGATCTTAGAGACCTAGGATTTTCTTCTAGGCTAGGTAAATTTCTAAAGACTAAATAAGGGAAGAGGAAAAACAAAAAATGCTAAGCTACATTATTTTAATTATTCTCCACAAATAAGCCTTGTCTGCTTGCCATCATTCAGCTATTCCCAATATTGTTTTCTATACAATGAAGCAAAATTAATCCTTTCGAAGATTCATGGCTAAATATTATTCCCATTTTGTAAAACAGGTGTAGCCGCATCTTGTGGCTAGCTATCATTAAGCCAACAAAATGAATTTCTTCCAGAAGCTCTGTTCTTAAGGTAAAGACAGTGGAATTCACAATCCATAACTGTATATTAGGCTGATAAAAACCATGAATTGCTGCTCTAGCACTTAGAACATGCAGTAAGAGAAGTGTGTTCTGATATAAAAAAATTCACATGGAAAGCAAGTATGACTTAAAAATCAAATTCTACTCGTAACAAAACAGGGGTGCTTGAGTAGCTCAGTCGGTTGGGTGACCAGCTCTTGATTTCGGCTCCAGTCATGATCTCAGGGTTGTGGGACTGAGCCCTGCAATGGGCTCTGCACTCAGAAGGGAGTCTGCTTGGATTCTCTCTCCCTTCTCCCTCTGCCCCTCCCCACCCTGTGCTCTTGCTCACATTCTCTCTCTCCCAAATAAATCTTAAAAACAAACAAACAAACAAAAACACTGTAACAAAACAACTCCCAAAATTTTAGCAAGAAAAATCTCAAGGAATTGCTTTGTGGAGTATTGAGACTTTTGTCATGAATATACCAGTTGCTCAGGGGGTGGGGGGATGAAAACATAGAATAAAGTTTTAATTTCCATCTGAAGATGATAAAGATAAATACTCTAGCATTATATACATAACATTTTGTGAGCCTATACATACACATTTATAAAATCTTCACATTTTCTTCTTTGTGAAAACGTTCATTCTCCAGTGAAATCTTATACATGATTTTATTTATACATGCTGTTCCTTTTTGTAACAGCATCTCCCTTTGTTGTCTCCTACTATTCTGGTGTTCCATAATGTATTATATTCTTCCTGTTAAGAAAAACTGCAAAGACAAAAACCTATTGAACAGGAATGGTGGCTTTCATCACGTAAGTGGTATTTTAGACCCCTTACTTTAGGCACCTTGCACTATGGGTTGTGTCCCCCGCTGCTCAGAAGACTGATATTTGAGGCACTCCACTATCTGATACACGTGTTTTAGCTGTTATCATAAATGGTGATAAACAGTGAGCCATTTCTCTTTGCCCATCTGTCCAGTCCCGCATGGAATATATGAACATCCTCGTAGATCTGAGAAAATATTTTCTTCCCTACCTATCAAATCAACAGATAGCACCTAGGTTTTTAATTGACTTTATATACTATTAATGACTACGGTATTCAGAACATGGTCTATTGGAAAAAAAAGAAAAACTGCATAGGACCTAAGGAAACCTAGGTTTGCATTATGGCTCTCCATTTTATAGGCTGTGGAATTTAGATAAGACCTTCTCTCATTACCTTCAGTTTTATAATACATAAAATAAGATAATATCCCATCAATATTACATCAAAGGGTTCTCTTACAACTCAAATAAGATTATGTATGAGAAATATTTGTAAGTTATGAAGTGTTCCATAGATACCTGTTGATATAATTATATATTCTTAAAGTCCTAAATACAAAGCTCTAGCTCAGAATTCATATATATGTAGTAAATGGGATTTCAATGACACATAAAATGGACACTGATGGTGGTCTAATAAAAAATTAAATACACAAGGGCGCCTGGGTGGCTCAGTTGGTTGGGCGTCTGCCTTCGGCTCAGGTCGTGATCCCAGGGTCCTGGGATCGAGTCCCACATCGGGCTCCCTGCTCTGTGGGGAGCCTGCTTCTCCCTCTTCTCCCCACTTGTGCTATCTCTGTCTCTCTCTCTCAAATAAATAAAATCGAAAAAAAAAATTAAAAAAAAAATTAAATACACAAGTGTATTCTCATCCTCCCACCACCATTTTTAAGACTTGGCTCACACTTTTTTTTCATGTTACATATAAGAATGATTCATCTAACACATTTTAGTATATAATTTCTTCATCCAGTATCCAAAAATAATAAAGAAATTCACGCCAATATTAATTTTAACTTTTCACCTACACCACATGGTTTTCCAGCTGTGTTCTTTGTTTTCTGGCCTCCTCATTAATGAGGCTAGTGCCATGTCTTTGTGATATTTTCCTCTGCTGTCCCTTTGTATGACACATTGAGCTATGTTTGTGAGAATCTTTGCCAAATCCAGTAAAAAACTTCATTGTATGTTGCCAGAAGAGAAAAAAATTACCACATAGTAGCATCTTTTTTTCCCCACTAACAGTGACAGCAATTAGCAAGTGAAATCACGCAAGCTAAGTAAAGCTTAGGGAGAAAAGGATAGAGTCTTTGAGATTCAGGATGTGAAGGATGCTTTTAAAGTGGTCAACACAAACAGTCAAAATGCTATTATAAGCTTCCATGTGTTTGTAAAGTAGCATTTTTTGGAGCACTTCCCTTATCTAATTTCCAGATTGGAAATATGCCCATCCTTGCAGATAACATTACCATGTCCTATCCTTTACAAGAACTCCTTTTAACTGCCTGACCATTTAAACAAAGACTTGTTGAAGCACCTTTTAAAGTAAGCTCCTAAAGATCTCCTTGCTAATGACCTGATGATCATTCTGAAAAGGAAGAGTGGAAACAATAAGGAATGTGTTGCTCTGCCTCAGTGTATCTTCTCTATGTGGTCATGATGAAATCCAACAATCCAAACATTCTCCAAATCCACCTGAAGCTTGAGATTAGGTGAGGACCAAGCCACAGTGAGTTACTTTGAAAACTTCTGTTGATAGCTGACTTGGGAGTTAGGACCTGGCATGGATTAGTCCCAGAACTTCCACCAGTTCTTTTCAAATTTACTCATGTCTTTTACATTTCTAAAATATCAGGAGATTGGTATATTTTGTGGAGGTTGGGAAAGAACCAGAATCCCGGGGGCTAATCAATCCCCCCAAGAAATCACTGGAGAAAACAGGCAAAATCTGACTCAACAAGGTTCAGGAAGAAATTTTTCATGATTGATCCATAATCCCTGGGGCTGCCAACCTGGGCCCATACTAAGGTATGGCAAGCAAAGTGCCTAGAGCACAAAACATAAGGAGGCACTCTTTGTCCCTTACACAACCCTGATCCCAGCCCTGCTGCCTACACAAGCATCTGATCAAATAACTTCATTTTAACTGTTAAAAGAAGCAATGGGGGTGCCTGAGTAGCTCAACCAGTTAAGCAGCTGGCTCTTGATTTCGGCTCAGGTCATGATCTCAGGGTCATGGATCAAGCCCTGCATCAAGATTTGCACTCAGCACAGAGTCTGCTTAGGATTCTCTCTCTCTTTCTCCCTCCCCTCTCCTCGCCCCTCCTCCTGCTCATGTGAACACTCTTTCTCTAAAATAAATAAGTCTTTAAAAAAAAAGGCAGAACCAATGAAAATAAGGACAGCAATGAGCAGATTACACTGCTCTCTTCTATATACTTTAGTTTTTTTTTTTTTAAAGATTTTATTTATTCATTTGACAGAGACAGAAACAGCAAGAAAGCGAACACAAGCAGGGGGAGTGGGAGAGGGAGAAGCAGGCTCCCCGCCCAGCAGGGAGCCCAATGCGGGGCTCGATCCCCGGACCCCGGGATCATGACCTGACGCTTAATGGCAGACGCTTAATGACTGAGCCACCCAGGCGCCCCTATACTTTAGAGCTCTTCACACACTTTTATATGTATCATTACCTTATGCCAACCACAACTTTCCGCGGCTAGAAGTGCAGAATATATAAATCCCACTTGAGAGATGGACAAGCAAATGTAGGGGAACTCTAGGATATGATCAAGGCAGTAGAAGTAGAATTTGAATTCAGGCCTCTAACTTCATGACCAATACTCTTCTCATTATACTACACAACACCAAGTCTCCCTCTGAGGTCCTTTATGCATCTGGTTTTATGGTCTATGTTGATTAGGATTATTTACGGAGTCACTGGTGGCTAGTTAATATTAACAACAAAATGACCTTGAATTTGTCTACTGTCTACTGCCCATAAATAGCCTCATGAGAAAGGAAAAATCAAAGGAATTCATCTAGTGGTTCTCAATGCCAGGCTTTAACATTTTAGGGGAAATCAAAACCATTAATAAATCAACCTCACAGATGACTTTTTTAATACTGTCACTAGCTGTACAGCAGAATCTTTTTGTTTGTTTGTTTGTTTATGTCATTATCAACAAGGCTTTGAAACCATTGGAAGCATATGGGTAACTTTGCTAAGAGTTGTCAAGAAGCTGGGATTATGACAGGTCTATATATAGGGAGCCTTCTCTCCCTATACTGGGAGATGTTCAGAAAAGAGCAGAAGGAAGGAAAATAAAAGACCCTAGCCAATGAGCAGCATGTGGTCTGATGGTCTTTCCCTGCACTGCCCTGCTTTAGACAAAAACTCTCTAACACTAACCAGAAATACAAGTTAGATGTCCACAAAAAAAACTCTGAGTTGCACATTTAATTTCCTGGATACACAGATTAATATGGAGAAAGTATGAATTATTAAAAAGCAAAGAGACACTTACTCCTCCCCATGTTTTCTTGTGGTCTCTGGCAGGTCCCTGGATGATGATTCCCTGTATAAAACACAGCACATACACACAGTCAGACTGTGAGTACATCAAGTAAGTTCCATTAAAGCTAATGTGGTCAACATGAGCCATTTCATTTTAGTGCATTCCAATCTTGCCCCCTTACACAAATGTATTCTTCATCACAAACAGGGATCTAACTTCAGAGGACAGAAACACAGCATTCTGAAAGCACGGACTCCATCTGTATCAACTTACTATGTCCTTGTTTATCCAGCATTAGTTTCTGCCCTTTCCAAATAAAAGTCATCAAACTGGTCACCTGCTTATTTCTTAGAAAGGCAGTGATATAAACAAAAAATGTTGGACAAATGTTGGCCCAGTTTTAATAAGCAAGTGGCATGTTATTAGTTTGCCTATCCCTGGCTTCTCTTCAGTGTCATTCTGTGACAAATCCAATATACCCTTTACAGTGTAACATTTTCCTGAATGGTGTCAAATAGCAGTACCCCTAATTAAATTATCCCTGAAGCAAAGCAGCCCACAGAGCTATTACCAATAAACAGTATGAATCAATAACCATGAATTACTGACAACAGAAATTTAGTAGGGAAAAAACCACGTAATCCAAATGCAGGTATGCATGGAGGAATAGCAATTCTGTTTTTAAAAGATGAAAATACATACACAGAAGCTAATTCACACCATAATGCTTCATTTTCTTACAGGGTTCAATCATAGAATTACTACACATTTATTACTCACCTGCCACATTCCCAACATGGAGCTAAATTATAGACATAATCTAGCCATCCATTAAGGAATGTATAACCTACTTGAAGTTAAGCATATAGGGGTGATTGATATCATGAAGATGGCCGTATAGGTGATTCCCAACTATAGTCCCCCTCACAAGAAGACCAACTGGCAACTATCCATAGAAAAAAACATCACTGTGAAAATCCGACATTAGAAGGGTAAAAGGACGGGACACACTCTGACCCCATTGCCCATCCCCTACAGTGCCACACTGAGAGGGCTTCCCCCCACCACCTCTGCCCAGGGACTATGGTTTCTACAGTGGGAAGAGAGAGCCCAAGGCAGACACCTAGCTCCTTCAGCACATGGGACCCCTTTGCAGGAAGCCCACTCATATCTTGCCTCACAGGGGTCAGTGGAAGAATCTGCAGGGCTTGACCACTGGGGATCAGCTAGAGATGGAGAAGGGGATAGAGCTTACAGCAGGTCTTGGCAGATGGCATTCCTGCTTGCAGCAACACTGCTGAGCAGAGATCCCAGCCAGCAGATCCAGCCATCTGCAGAGTTGAGCCAGTGGCCCCCTTTGGCTAGGGAACTTGGTTGGCAGTTTTGCATGATTTGGATCCCCAGTCAATGGGCCATACTGGTAGGGGAGCCTGTTCTACCACCCTGCCCAAGGGAAGCAAATTCCCAGCCACACCCTAGTGCTGAGCAAAGCCTCTAGCTCTGCCCATCCAGGAGGCCCAGCCAGAGAACTAGAGCAGCCACAGAGCTCATCCTATAGCCCTGGCTCAGTCAGGGAGTAAAGCCAGCAGCCATGCCCAACAATTCAGCATAGCCTCTGGCCCCACATAACCAAGGAGCCTGAGCAGTGACCTGGGAAACATGGGGGCACAGCCTATTGTACTGTGAGACACAGCCCAGCCTACAATCCCATCCAGTCATGGAGCTCAGCCTACAACCCTGATAAGCAGAGGAGCCCAGACTACTGGCCCTGCCCAATTGTTGAACATAGCCTGTAGCCTTGCGAAGGCAGGAAACCAAGCCAGTAACCCTACCCAATCAAGGAGCATTGCCTGTGACCTCACCAAACAAGGGAGTCTAGCCAATGACCCTGCCTACCAGGTGAGCACAGCCCATGGATTACATGATCAGGAAGATGAGCATGCAGCCCCATTCAACTTCAGGGCACAAACTGTGTCTGTTTACATAAGTCTGTGTAAACACAGACTTCAGCCAGTGGCACCATCTGGTTGTGGAGCACAATCCAAGGCCCTATACAACGAGGGGTGATTGTGGAGCCCAGCCTGTAGCCCTGTCCAATCAAGGAGTTCGACCAGTGGCGCCACCCTGCCAGGGAACACAGCCTGGGACTTTGACCAACCAGAGGTGATTGCAGAGCCCAGCTAGTGGCCCCACCTGATTTCAGAGCACAATTAACAGCCCCACCCAAAGAGATGGTTGCCCACTGATCCTGCTTGAACATGGACCCAGTCAACAGGCCCACCCAACTGTGAAGCCCAGCCAGCAGCATCCCCCCAACCTCAGAGCATGGACAATGGCCTCACCCAACTAGAAACCCCAACAGCAAGCCCTGCCTTCCCACAGAGGCTACCAGATGACCTGTCCAGCACCCCCAAGCTATAGTGACTGGTGAAGGTCTTTCCCTCCTAAAGTGAAGAGGTAAAGTCTGAAAGAGGAGACTGCTTAAGCAAATGCAGAGACACCAATGCAAAGAATCAGGAATCGTGAAGAAACAGGTAAACATGACACCACCAAAGGAAACTATAAAGCTTCAATAAGTGACCCTAACAAAACAGAGATCTACAGATTGCCTGAAAAAGAATTCAGAATAATCCTCTTAAAGAACTGTAGTAAACTTTAAGAAAACAGACAGCTAAATGAAATTAGGAAAACAATGCCATGAACAAAATGAGAAGTGCAACAAAGAAAGAGAAACCATCAAAATCAGAAATCTTAGAGCTAAAAATACAACTGCACAATTCAACAGAACAAAACGGCTTACCTATCAATAATTACTTTTAATGTAAATGGATTAAATTCAACAATTAAAAAACAGAGAATGGCTGAATGGATAAAAAACAGGATCCAAAAGACGTACTGTCTCTGAAAGACTTACTTTAGCTTTAAGGACACATATAAAATGAAGTGAAGAGATAGAAACAGATATTTCAAGCAAATGGTAACCAAAAGAAAGTATGAATAGCTATACTCGTTAACATACAAGATAGACTTTAAGCTAAAAATGGTCACAAGAGACAAAGAAGGTCATTATATAGTGAAAAACGATCAATTCGTTAAAAAGTTGTAACAATTGTAAATATTTACTCACCCAACGTTGAAACATGTAAATACATAAAGCAAATGCTAACACAACTAAAAGGAGAAATAAACAGCAATACAATAATAGCTGGGGATTTTAATATCCACTGTCAGTGATTGATAGATCATATAGACAGAGAATCAATGAGGAAACAGCAGACTTAAACAACACTATAGACCAAAGGGACCAAACAGACATAAACAGGACATTCCATCTAACAGTAGAATACACATTCCTCAAGTACACATGGAATGTTTTCTATGATAGATCATATGGCAGGCCACAAGTCTCAACAAATTCAAGGAAACAAATGTATCAACTACCTTTTACAACCACAGTGGTATGAAACCAGAAATAAAAAATGGGAGGAAAGCTGAAAAATTCTCATACATGGGAGTTAAATAACATACCCCTGACCAACAATGGACCAAAGAAGAAAGCAAAAGGAAAATTAAAAAAAAAAAATCTTGAGACATAAAAAAATAGAAACACAACATAAGAAAAACAATGGTATGCAGGAAAAGCAGTTCTAAGAGGGAACTTTATAGCGGTGAACTTTCAAGGAAAAAAAAAAAAACAAGCCCAAAGTTAGAAGAAATAAATACTAAGTATTAGAGCAGAAATGAAAGATAGGAAAATAGAAAAGATTAACAAAACTAAGAGTTGGTTCATTAAAAAGGTGAACAAAATGGACAAATCTTTAGCTAGACCAAGAAAAAATAAGATCAGAAACGAAAGAGGATGCATTACAAGTAATACCACAAATACAAATGAAAATGAGACTATTACAAACAATTATACACCAACAAATTGGACAACCTAGAAGAAGTTGATACATTCCTAGAAACATATGAACCTACCAGCTAAATCATGAAGAAACAGAAATCTGAACAGACTAATAATGAGTAAGTAGATAGAATCAGTAGTCAAAAACCTCCCAAGAAATAAAAAGTCCTGGGCTAGATGGTTTCCCTGGTGAATTCTAACATTTAAAGTTAAGAATTAATGCCAGTCCTGTTCCAATTCTACAAAAAAAAGGATAAAAATCATATAATCATCTCAGTAGATGCAGAAAAAGCATTTGATAAAATTCAACATTCATTCATGATAAAAAAAAAAACCTCTCAAGGAATTGGGTACAGAAGGACTACACCTCAACATAATAAAGGCCATATAAGAGAAGCCCACATCACAACATCATACTTAATGATGAAAGGTTGAATGCTTTTCCTCTAAGATCAGGAATGGTCTTAGATTCCCAAGGATGCCCACATTCCCCACTCCTACCCAACATAGTACTAAAGTCCTAGCCAGAGCAATCAGGCAAGAAAAAAAAAAGGCATCTAACTCAGAAAGGAGTAAGTAAAATTCTCCCTGGGTGCAGATGATATGATCTTATATACAGAAAAATCCTAAAAATTCTACTAAAAAAAAAAAACTATCAGAATAAAAGATTTCAGTAAAATTGCAGGATACAAAATCAACATACAAAAATAAGTTGTTTAGAGTCTAACAATGAACTGTCTGAAAAATAAAGAATAACCCCACTTATAATAGCATCAAAAAGAAAAAAAAATACTAGGAATAAATTTAACCAAGGAAGTGAACAATCTATGCACTGAAAACTGTGTAAGATGTTCATGAAAGTAATAGAAAAACAAATAAATGGAAAAATATCCCATGCTCATGGATTGGAAGAACTAATGTTGTTAAAAATGTCCATACTACCAAAAGCCATCTATAGATTCAACACAATCCCTATCAAGATTCCAATGGCAATTTTTACAGAAATAGAAAAAACAATCCTAAAATTTGTATGGAACCACAAAAGACCCTGAATAGCCAAAGCAGTCCTGAGAAAGAACTAAGCTGGAGACATCACATTTCCTGATTGCAAACTATATTACAAAACTACAGTGATCAAAACAGTATGATACTGGCA